GGAGCGGAACGTTCAACATCATTCTCGAGAACCTGAGTTTCCGCCTCGGTCTGCACTTCTACATGAGTCCACAGGGAGGCATCGGCGTGAAGGTGGCCGAATGTTTGATGAATTGCGACAACATCGACGTTGCCATCGAGGAGATATCCGGCATGAGCCTGCTGCGCGGCATAATCAAGAACGTGGTTCGCAGGAAGCTGGACAAGTTCGTACAGGAAGAGGCATGTCAGGCTGTCGGTACCATCGGCGTTGACGAAGTGACGAAGTGGATGTCGCAGACGCTGACCAGATTCCGCCTGTTCGACAAACTGTTTCCTTCGAAGCATCAGGCGTCACGAACCAAGCGTTCAAGCTATAAGCAGTTCGACCCGAACAACGCGTTCATGGACTTGCTGCAGATGGCCACCAAACTCGTGTTAGACTTCAGTGTCGTCGGCAATCCTACGGTTCGAGCTTCCGGCTACTCGATGTACTTCGAAATTCCAGTAAAGGGCGAAGTGACGTTGGAGGGCTCATCTCCTTACACGCCAATCAGAGCGCAGCCGATTCCGTCGAAAAACGAGAACTTCGGTAAGATGATTTATATCATAGTCACCGATTACACGTTCAACACCCTTCTGTACCAAATGTACAGTCACAAGATGCTGAACCTGGTGTTGACCAAAAAGTCGATAGCTGACCCGGAAGTGCGCTCGTTTCTGTACACGAAGTGTCAGGACAACGAGTGCATCGGCGCCGCGCTACCTGAGCTTCAGAAGTATCCTATGCAAGCGATGGTAGTATACGTCACGGCGCTGGCTGCCCCAAAAGCGGTCATCATCGACGGAGCCGTCCGAATGTCGGCCAAGATTCGTCTGACGGGCTACGCGAGTTATAACAACAAGAAGGTCAAGGCCTTCTCTTACGACTTCAACTCTGTCGGCGACTTGAAACTCACCTGCAGACAAGGAACCATAACCTCGACGTTTACCATGCAGTCGGTAACGTCGTTGGACAAGAACAAGCCGCTGCCACCGAAGCTGATCCAGCTGATCAAACGTGGAATGCAACAGGAGATGAGCGGCCTGTTGGGCAGTGACTCCGGATTCAAGATCCCACACATCGGAATTGGTCAGCTGTCCCGGATCGAGATGAAAACCAAACCGAACGCACTGTCGCTGTCGAGCGACTTCGCTGTCAACCAGCAATTGCTGTACCGAATGATTAGTAACGTTATACATCGCAAACTGGGAAGCACCGGAGGCATGCCCGGTCCGGGAATGGGCATACCCCCAGGGTTCTGAAGGCTCACTAATGGGCACCAGTTTCATACTCGCTTGTTTTTCTGAGAAAGCTAATCTGTACCCAACGAAGTACTTATCCAATTGAACTTTCAGTATACTTATGCGATGAGTCATTCGATTAAATTTCGTCAAGTGGTTCTGGAAGCCTTCTATTACACTGCAACCAATTAATTACATTAATTAATTACATTCAAGAAATGCTTGCCTTGAACGGTCACCAGTTTCATGTTTACAAAACTCTTAAGATGTGAGTGAATCACGGCATCGGAACACACTGCAGCTACAGAGATTTCAGTCCTGACGATGTTACTGGCAAAAACAAAGGTAACAAAATTTTTCGACTGTTACTAAAACTCTGTCATCGTTTTGCATTTGGATTTCCTAATCACGCATCAAGGGACCAATCCGCTGAGAGATTTCAGTTACGTGAATTTTGGGATAAGGCAATCAAAATTCCTCCTCATATGTTCTAACGAAACAGCGCTCGTTAATGCATAATCGTTATCGCTGTTGAAATATATACTAGGTGAGGAATGTTCTTTTCGACTGTGAATCGCAGAGAGCATTTTCACCAACCGCCACCACACATATTTGTGGTACTCTGGTTGCGGATGCCAACATGAGTACGCCTAAAGCACGGGATAAATCGACAAATGATCATCTCGTATCTTTAATAACAACGAGGTCATCGAAGTCTATCTGATAATGGCAGTTAACAATAAGTGAATGAAAGGACGAATGAGTGATTGAATTTGTGAATAAATGAGTGAATAAATTAATTATTGAATATCGATGAATACATAAATGCCTATCAATAAATAAATTGTTTCATTAATTCTAGACGAAAGAAAAAGGAGAGATGGTAATCTTTATTATAGTTGCCTGCCTTTCAGCCACAATACGATGGCCATATTTTAGATAATAAATAAATGAATGACTGGCTATTGAGTGTATATATTACTAAATATTTATTGGTTGAATGAAATCCATTGCGAAGTGGAAAAAACTAATCTCTGAGTATACAAGTCCGATCAAGACCATTTCCAAATTTTTGTTTTCTTGACTGTTCAAAACACTGAGTTCCAAGTCTGCGCACCATGCAGTCGAATGGCCGTCATTTCGAGCCTAGGCGACATGACTGAAATATTTCAACATACTTTCATTAGTGATTATCATGACGACAGCTGCCTACTGTTCCATCTAACATCTAATTAATGACTGCCCAGGCAACCAGATGTAACACTAAGGAGTAGAAAAATGTTCCTGCTGTTTTTCTATTCCTAAGAAGGTCCAGCGTACTCCGTTTCTGTTTCCATGGTAAACAGCACGAAGCCGACGTTTCCCCAGAATCGTCCCGTCTGAACTTTTGATCAAACTGTTCTCACTTAGGCAGAACTGTCTCAAATGCTGTAATTCAGTTCAATCCTATATAATTTGCTTCGTAGATCAATGAGACCACAGAAGTTGCTCTAAATGGAGTTTATGAAGAGTATGAAGGCCGGAAAGCAATGCATAAGATGATATGCAAAGAAGCAGCAAGAAAGTTTAGCGAATTATGATCCCTGTCACCCTCATTTGTCACTAGCTCTTCAGGTGACCGTTTCAGAGTTCATGGAAGACCATCACAACTATTATGACTACTCGACAACATCCTCGCCACTGAATTTTCTCCTGTGGTGCGACCCCCAATTTTCGTAGCTGATTTCTGGAAGACGGGTAAGTAGAAATCCATAAATTAAGAGGATATTGCTTGCTTCCATCGGTGTTGCAACAAATCTCCTCATGCAACTGCAGGGCCAGATTTATCATCACTCAAAATGAATGTAAAATATTCATCAATACATCGTCTGAAAACGAAAGTGGA